CACAGAGATTTTCCTTTTTTTGTTGTTGCTTTTTCTGAATCTTAAAAAGACAGACAACAACAGGCGTACTACTGAGAAATGAGAAACGTGCACATCGCTACCCTTCTATTATCTGGAATTGAAAAATGTGACGTCAACATTTTTGAGTTTCACAACATGCCAAACTTTTTCGAATGCTTTCCTTTGAATATCTTGATAAAAACTCCTTATAATCTTACGTTTTTTTATAAAGCAGAGGGAACATTGGTTTCTGACATCAAGATCTTATTAAAATGGCCAAAAATGTCAGATACAACTTCGTTGTAATTCTACGGTAGCGCTTTTTGCTTCTGATTTGTGTATGTTTGTTCCAAATTTGGCTCAGTCATCATGGACTATGTTCTATTTGGCATATTCTGTGTCCGGTACGCCTTTAGAACTTAAGCAGCGAAAAGACGATCCTACGTATGCCTTAACATGCTAAACAAGAGCACAAGATCGTGTCTATCAATACTCTGCTCGGGAACAATAGTTTCAATATTGTCTGCGTAATGAATGACACGTCTCCTTCATGCATATTCATGACGAAACCATAGTTTCATTACTCGATAGACAGCTACGAAAAGACAGTGGGATAGGTTTCACGTAACTCGCTGTCATTCTTTACAACAGGGCTGTCCTTGAATCATTATCATACTCAAAAAGGAAGGGCCAGGTTTCACCATTTTCATGTTCTCAACAACAACAGCCAAAAAAACAAAAACAAAAAAGAAACCCCCAACCCCCCCCCCCCCACAAAAAAACAAAAACAAACGAACCTTAAAAAAACAAACCTGAGACGAAATCGATTACATGAACTTGAACTTGGGTAGACGGGTTATAACTATGCTGATATTTTCTTCTACATTTGAACGGTTTTAATTAATGCTGAAAAAAAAAGCCCAAGGAACTGAAGCGGTTTCCTTTTTTCTTTTTACGGGACCAGGCTGCTACACTTGCTGATAATTCCCAGAAAGATTTTAGAAGTAGAAGATCTGATTCTAAATACAAATAACGGGTAGCAGTAACCCCTCAAGCCCTATTCCGAATCTACAAACTTAGTGTTCACAAACTTGATCTTCACTTTCTGTAGGACCACAATTACTTGGGTCATCAAAAAGTTATTTGAGAAGAAAGACTTGTCTTAATTTAAGAAAAACAAAACGGTGGGAGTTAAAATTTATTTTTTCCAAATCATAGCTATGAGGTTTGAAATTATGAGAGAGCATACTTTTTATAAATATTGTGCTTGCCATAATGTGTGTACTCGGTCAGATTTTATTCACTAACCATTTACACGGCAGATCAAAAAGACATTTTCTCCGATAGATAGTGTGCTCCGCTAGCTCAAATGGTATCATGCTAGACTGCGAAGGGGATGACCCTGGTTCGAAACCCAGATAGGGCCTTCTTGAACGCATGTCGTTTTGGGGAGCTTTCAATTCTCTCAACACATTTGGCTCAGACGTATCAGAGACGGGCGTTACGTTCGGAGGTTCCACCTCTGAAATAAACTGGCTACCCAGATTTCGGGGGTTTCCAGAAATCTTGACCTACACCAAAAGTGGGCATTGCTCTACCTATAGGAGAAGTTTGGTTTCATTGGTGCGTATATTTGTTTGGATATAAAGAAAACTCTCCTTGTTTTTTAAAGGAACTAGACAAGGGGCAAAACCTTTACCTTCCATTTTCTAAAAACAGCATTTTCTGGATAGCCCCGTTGTTCTTAAAAGCGACCAACTAAGAGTGTTGTTAGGAGCGTTAAACAAACACAATTCTACTTATTGTCCGATAGACACTGTTTAACCGCTGCCTTGCACAAGGGCGTGTTTGTTTTATAAGAGTCTTAAGACTCAATGACAAGACGAGTCTAAATGATTAACCGCTGTCCTTGACCCTTAGTCTAAAAGAAGGTCACCGAATTTGTTGTGACGTCATAGAAACATATATTTCGTGATGCAACTGGTACTTTAACAGCAACACGTTGACTCCACTCCCTTTTCTTTAAAAAAGATTCTGGTAAGTGTTTTACGGTGCTCGCAACTGCAGAAGGTCATACGAACGCGCGGGGCACATTAAATATTTTCAGTTGGTAGGAAATTTTGAATATTGTCCAGGTGGCGGCCGAAGCCTACTCTAATCGATTTTGGACCCCCAAGGGATCTTTGTTGTGTGCGACGTCGCACGAGACCTCCGAGATTTTTCGCCCTTGTCCGAGAATGCTAGGTATAGATCTTTCCCTCCAGAAGATCAGGGGTGTGGCTGAAAGACAGAAGTAAGAAGAAGCCAAAGAGTAGCAGTAGAACGGCTATAGAAAGAGTCAGGAACCCAACGGAGGGGGGGGGGGGTGAGAGGAGCTGAAGGGGTGGGGGCAGAAATTGGAGACGATAGCAGATGATAGAGCATTGCTAGAGAGCAGGAAATAATGTGAAAGGAGGCAATTCTAGAGAAGAAAGTTTTCCGTCGCCATCCGGATTCGAATCTGGGAACTATTGAATGAGAAGCAAACACCTTAACCTCTCGGCCACGAGACCCCCCCCCCCCCCCCCCAACTACCTTTAGCATACCGTTTACAAATTTAATAGTAAAAAAACGATCTTTTTTTTTAGGCATGACTATTTCCCCCTCATTTTTTGACAGCCTCAACATAGCATTGTTGCCAGTGAGTACAGAGGCAGACTGTACTTCTCTCACCCCCCCCCCAAACACCAAAAACAAAAACAAAGGTAAAACGACAAAGTTCATGTCTTTAAGAAGGCCGGTTGTTTCGACACTACCTGCCAGGGCTGACCAAGACTGATTGAGATATCAAATAATATATTGACACAGAAAGACGAAAATACTCCATCAAATAGACGTCCTCTCTTAGAAATCGAACCCGCGTCTTCTGAAAATTATATTCAAGAAAACCAGTTCAATCACATAAAGGCTGGAGTTCTTTCTCAGCCATACAATAGTCATAATATATATATATGCACAGCACAAAAATCTACCCTTCACACAACCTTTCTTTCTTGCCTGAAGTCTTAGCTTCATTTTCATAATTTTGCATTATCGCCTGTCATGTGTACTTATCTAATGTTCCATCGTCTTTCCTCGTGTCTCCTCAGGCTGTAGGCTTCGACAGACACATAATGTCCACGGAAAAACTGACACAGAAGGCTTTGGAACAGCACGATAAGATCCACCCAAAGCTACAGTCCACGAAAGTCAGGGTAAGACTTATTATTCGTCAAGCGCACAGATTATGCTGTAGAGCATGAAAATAATTTAATATTATACAAACTAAAACATAAATGCAATGAATAATTAATTAATTAATTAACTGATTGATTTTAAAAAACTTTTCGGTTTTGTTTTTGTTTTTGTTTTCGTTTTATTTTTTGGTGTTTTTTTGTGTTTTCTTTTGCCATAGAGACAAATAGAGTTGTATAGGCCAATAGTATAGATCAGTCCTCTGTCAACCTCTTTATAACCACCGCCCACGTTTGTCACCTTCTAGAGACTAACAATATTTCGTACCGCCCAACTAAAATATGTATTTCTTAGTGGAGCATTAAATGATTATTACCTGTCACTACCCGGGTGATCCTCAACGCCCACCAAAATTAGAAATCGTCCTCTAGTTGTCGATCCCCCCGGGCTGACAAGCATTGGTATAGACGCAAATGATTATAACATAGATTAGGTCTTTAGAAAAGGCAAGACAAAAAGCTGGAATTAAAATCAAGAAAGAGAACAAATGTGAGATTTTTTTCTGTTCAGTAAGGTGTTTTTTTTCGGCAATCGATTTGCTAGAAGAAAATTTCGACCCCTCCCATCCAAATTAAAACCACCCTACCCCTTCACACACACACCACATATCCTTTTTCCAGCCTCTACCCCAAATCTCTGCCACAGGTATCTATACGTTTTGTTTCCATATATATACTTTTCACCTTTGTCCCTCCCCTACCAAGCTAAAGCAAAACTTTATTGACGACAACAACAACAACAACAACAACAACAACAGAACTCCACACACAGGATTCAAACTCATGCCTTCTGCGTCCCACGGCTACACTACATCGTAGTTGGGGGAGAAGAATTTTTTAAAAGTACGGTAATGTAGTGGAAGAGCAAAAGTTGGGCACTCTATCTTAAAAAGTAATGAATGATGTCACATCGATCCATATGTGGGTCACCAGGGAATGGACCCAGATTTGTGTAGTAGGTCAAGTAAGCTATAAAAAAAAAGGAGAGGGTTCCTGTAGACTTTAATCTTGTGTGAGTGTGGGCCTTTCTGTTTTAATTTTCTATTCTTTGGTAAAAGTTTTACGGGGCTCGCAACTGCTTAAGGTAATAATTGTGAGCACGTGGGACACAAGTTGGTTATATTTAAGCATTGGTTCGTAGCACGGCTTGGTAAACTATTATAGGCCTACTGTTATCTGTTTTAAAAACCCAGCCTTTAAAAGGAGATGGAACGATAGAAGAAAATGCATTGTGGGAATGAAACCAGTCTCGCTCATCTAAACTGTCGAAAAAAGAAAAAGAGATAAGAAATAGAACTGCGGAAGAACGTGTATTGTCGCACGTCAATTGTTTAGAGGAAGACGCCTCTCAGTAACAATGAATGAGTGTTCCTAAAAATAAAAAGAGAAAGATTAAACAGAAAACAACCAAACCAAAACAAAAACTTATAACAGATTAAACAAAGCGAAAGAAAACAAAACAAAAAACGAACCTTGAAAAAAAAAACCCACGTTGCCAAAAGCGACTAAGTTCTTTGTGTATAGATGGGATCAGACAACGTCAGTGTCTCCGTAAATAATTGAAGTAGGTGAAGAAAAGACGAGTACTGTACTGTGTCTGCCTTTTCCTTATTGTTCTGGACTCTCGAAACGTTGTCAATGGATTAGGTAGACATTAAGACCGAAGAGAGAGAGAGCAATAGAGAGAAAGGGAGAGAAAGAAACACACACACACACACACACACACAC